CTGCAGCTAGTCTAATCAGATGTTTTGCAGGATTTTGTATTGCGGGCAATTTTCAAACTTACACAACTGCATGTTTGTGGGAAAATACTTTGAACTAAATCAGTAAATCACATATTCCACATCCCAGCAGTATTTTACTCCCGGCACTGAACAAATGCCAAACTTTTACTGCTTTTCACTATCACTGTTATGAACTCGCTTTCAACAAGCTTGCTTACGCACAACACTAAGATGCTGTGATATACTGTAAATACGCCGTTTGCATGGTGATTATGAATGTGCGTTAGGCAGAGAGCGAGAGAGAGAGATAGTGGAAGAAGGGGGAAGGGGAGGGAGAGACTTTGTTGTGGCTGTTTTTTAACTCCCTTTCTCAGAAATCCTGCCCCGAGGATAAACGCAGTGTCCTTCTGCAGAGCAACAAGATTCCTGAAGTGATTTGAGCAGGATTTATTCTTCCAGTGAGGCAACAATGCATCTGTCAACACGGAACCTGAAGTGTATATGCACGCAAAACACAGTATCTCAAAAGATTTTCCTGGTATAATCTTCTGTAATTGCATAAACAGAAAGGTAGTGTATGGGATGATGTCTTCTGAACCGCCTTTGACAGCTTATTGTACAACATATCAACTTCAAAGCACCATGTATGTATGGAAAACTGAAAACTAAGAAAACCTGTTGAAGCAAATTCTGTGCAGCTGTGAAATTGCCACCACCAGCTTGTGTTGCATTTATGTCTGCACGCCTGTCTGTGTGTAACATTCCTTTGCCTGCATGAAGCCCATACGAGAAAGGGCCCTTCTCATGCCAGCTGAGGTCAGGTCCGGACACCGTGGGGTGCACCCTTCTCCCACTGCGGTGGGCTGAGAGGCAGGGGGAGGCCTCCAGCGCTTCTGGGAAACAGTCTGGGCCTAATTGGAGCCTGACTGGCCTCACATGTCTCCACTTACTGGAGGAGACGGAGGATCCCGCGCAGCCTGGCCTATGAGAGCTCCTGCAAGAGCCCAGGCCTTTCCCACTTCATCAGCATAACCACAGAGGAGTGAATTCACAGGCAGGCCTGACATGACAGCATGAGTGAATGGTGTGGTCTGGTGTGTTTCAGTGCAATGAGGTCAGGCAATGAGCTGTGCCACTTTATGTTGTATTTTTTAGAGGAATATTTGACCTTGATGAATCCCTCTTGGTACAGTTTGTTCCAAGGATCTCCTTTCTGTACAGTATGTGCACCCACCTTCCATTGTTCCCTCTCAACTCATTCTGGGTGAAGAGCAATGAAACCTCCCCTCCTACCGTACAGTGTATCGTGTTCCCCTTCTCACGTACACACAAACCTCAACTTCACAGAGAAGACTTACGAGTACATTGTCTTTTCATGTGCCGGCTTATTCACGCTGCAGTGAGAAATACGAGAAGTGAACAGCGCAGATGGTGAAAAACAAAAGTCTTCCCTGCTGCTGCTGCTGCTGCTGCTGCTTCACCACCACCACACATTCTCAAACGCTTTTTTTTTTCTTGCCGTGGCAATGTGCCTCTCATTTCCCATCAGTCACGGTCACCTCCTTGGCCCTGCCCTGTATTATCATCATGTTTTACAGCAGCGGTGCAGAATACTGTTTGACTGCAGTTGTGCAAAAATAATTACTGGTAATTTACCATCCACTTTGTTTGTTTTCAGAAAATTGCTTTAATATCAGAATGCAAAGGTGCAAAACAGGAACCTTGTTTTGCCAGTGTCTTGGTATCATGTCTTTTCAATGCACATCTGGAACAAATTGTTTCATAATTTGTACCCATGTTCCACAAAAACCTGCAGGCTTTGGCCCAGAGGAAAATATCATATAAATAAGCACATATTCATTCAGACTTTAATTTGGGCATAATTTGGTCTGATTGCAATCTCTCTCAGATCAAAGGGCTTTTGAAAGCAATTCTCCTCCTTTTGTTGTTTTTTTTTTTTGCTTTTTGCTGCTCAGAAAAACACAACTCAACTCGAATAAACTTTTGCCCAAGAAAGAACTCTTATAGGTTTTACTATAAGATATTCCTTTATTTGTCCCACAATTGGGGAAATTCTATATAACTGTACTTATTACTACCTGCTCAACATTACCCACGGGACTCTGCAACACTACAGATACAGTGCATGTGTCAGTACAATTTAGCATTTACTGTGAATGTTCAACTGGGACTGAAGCTGATTTGAAGGTGGTTTTTGTAGCCTAAATGTTTACACAAATGGCAGTCTCCTCTGCCACAAGTAAGATGCTGAAAAGCAGATTTGTGTTTTTGAGAAATTTCGTGCAGAGGGCTCATCATTTAATAGAAAGTATACAGTTAATTGTAAGAGTGAAAACAGCATTTAAAGTCAGAACAAATGGCATAAAACACTTACTACAGAGACTTTATGGCCACTCCTGCAACCTGGTTGTCCATTACTTATTGATACAGTCATGTTAAAACGTGTGTGTTTCTTAGTGAGGCATTTACTCTTTTCCATGGTACTACAGGATGAAAGGAGCACACAATCACAATTATGCAGGTGAGATTAAGGTAATTTGTTTTTTATAAAGTAATACCCATATGTGAGACTCCAGTGTTCCCATTAACATAAATCCAAATATGCATATGCATTGTATTTTAGTCTTCATACTGATAACTACAAACATGCCCTGCTGTTTCCTGCATGCCCGTTCCATTGAGAAAAAGTCATTTATATTGATTCCTTTTCCAGGCATCATTTAATATGATACATATTCACTTGTAAATATCGACCTTTCCCTGCTGCCCCGACGTTTGTGCCATAAATACTTTAAAAGCAAGCTTGTGAAAAGATATGAAATGATATGAAGCTGTAAATAAAGTCTGGATTTAAACAGTAACAAGAGATTGGGGTTTTTTATGGAGGGTAAATGTGGTTGGAGCAATGCAAACTGAAAGTTGCGTGAGCAGAGAGGGAATCATTAAATTTCAAGGCTGCCCTCAAGTGGAAGTAGCATTCAGTATTCATGGACATACAGCAGTGTGGCATCACTAAACCTGTAATTTAATTAGGGTTTTATTTGGCAAGTCTGTAATGCAGCTGAAATGAATGAGAAACATAAAAAAAGCACATTTAATGTTGTTGCTTACAGCAGTATGCCTCCACAGTTCTTATCACATACTGCCACCTGCTGGACTTTTACTATTCTAACATGATGTTCGCATGTAGTTGTGTAATAGATATACACAGCCAGTGTTGTGACAAATCTGTCTTTATTTCAGCTTGATTAAATGGTAATGATAGGAACCTCAAATCAAACATTATTGAACAGAATAACAAAAGAAAATGGCACAACTAATAAGAAACAAAAAATGAAGACAAAATACCCACTATACATACAAGTATATACAACTTTGATAAATAAACCAATACTGTCTAGAATTATGATTGTTTTGCATTTTCCTTATTTCTCTAGGATTAGTGAGCAGAGAGGAAGAGAACCAGGAAACAGAACAAACAGGCAGTGAGGATAATGAACAGCAGGCACAGATGAAGAGAAGAGAGATGACTGTAGACAAGAGTAAAAAAGACAACCGCTTGATGCGCAACTCGGACTGCATTTGCAAAACTGTACCTCAATGCAGTTTTTGCTATTTGACAAGTTGACATGTCGACATGTCAATGCCGCATCGTGACCAATCGGCCATCGTGCCCCTCCATCTTTTGCTTCGTCGCGGTACATTCCTCATACGACTAGTAGTTTTGTATTGTTTCACATCAGACTTTGGATCCTGAGACGGGGGACAACCCATTCTTTTTCCAGGCATAGCTTTGATGAACCACACGGTTATTTGTGCGCCTTGAAAGCCGCTACAACAATATGTCATATATTATGTCTTATACATAAACAACCTGAAGCACACAGTATTGTACAACAATGAGGTTGGGCTGAAGGCTGAAATTGACTTGTAATTTGTTTTACCAATAAATAGGTAACAACTAAAAAGAAAACGTATATTAAAAAGGCAGGAACAAAGATTAGATGTTCAACCGGGAGAAGAAAACTGTGAATTACTGTCGCTAACCAGCAGCTTTTCTCATCACATTTTATCTAGAGCGCCAGGCACTGTGCAGCAGTGAAAGTAACTAACAATTAAATTTCTTTTTTTTAAGATACAGTAATGGAAAGTGGTCTTATGTTGGTTTGAGGAAAAGAAAAATGTATGGGAAGAGAAAATTAAAAAAAAAAAAAAAAAAGGGGCCACCAGCTCTAATTTCCAGACAACTTAAGACCTCAAAATGAAGCCCAGTGTGCCTCTACAAGACCTTCAGGAAATGAACAGTAAGAGCCAGATACAACACTGAGACCCTGTCCAGACATGCAGACACCCTCATGTGCAGCAGTACGTTGTCCCCCCCACACCACCCCCCCACACTGCAGCTTCACATTTATGAAAGCAGAAAAAGGTTCAGTCTGGGACACAGATGAGGCTTTCATTCCTCACATGGCTGTCGTGTTGTGAACAGGATCCATGTCAGCAGCGACATGGAAAGTTTCAGAACATCGTAACAATCTCCTGAGTGGCAACTTTTGTTTGTTTTTTTTTTTTAACAGAAAAGTTTTTGTTTTCTTTTTTCCCCTATAAAATCAATAACAGTTGGCAAGTTAGACCCTCCCTCCCATACCCTTCAGTTTCTGTTGCAAGACGTTTTTTTTTTTTTTTTTACAAAAGCAAACAAACACGAAAGACTCGAGAGGAATCGACAAAAGCTGTAAAAATAGACACGTATTAACCTAACATATTAAAGCACATCAGAAAAGGTCTTTACTTTTCTTTCACAATAGTTTGGTTGGGGTGCCACACTCGGTCAGACCTGCTGAGTTTAAACGATGTGTGCTACGGGGGGGGGGGGGGG